TCAAAGAGCAGTTTCAACTCTCCTGACAGGATTTAAACCAAACACTGGGGTCAGAGGGGTAGGTGGACTAGAAGTTGTGAACCAACTTCTCTGTAGGAAACAATGTAGAATTATTTGCAGCAGCGACTATGCCAGGCCTGTCCTAAGACAATAGCTAATATGGGAGTGTGTTCATTATCAAGCAATATGGTGTCTTTAATAGTAACACATAGCTATTTAGCATAGTGCAACATTTTTCTGGGTTCCTATTTTTTTTCTGATAAATCTTTAATTGAATCATCATGCCCGCATATGTAAAAATGATTTAAAAAAGAGATGAATGGTAGCCTACTGGTGTGTCCAGATTTGAGCACACTAGGAATAGTCTGCCATCCATTTTTGTAACAAGTCCTGAAAGTCTGTTTCTCTAAGGACTATAAACACTTCTGTAAGACCCTGTACACACAAACACAAAACAGTTGAGAGACTCTCCAGTCTTTGCCAAAGGAGCAGAAATACCATATACTTAATGCCACTCATGGATATTGGTTTCTCTTCTTGCCACCTGTCAAGACCTAAAACTCCACTCAGTTACTAGGACTGAGGCCCTTCTGCTTGTCCCTCTGTTCAAGGTGCCCTAAACTCTGACACTGACTTTTCTTCTGTGTTATTTCCCAACACTTTAAATGTTTTACTACATTCTCTTCTTCCTTGCATGGTTTCTGAAGATAAGTCAGATGAAATTCTTATCTTTGCTCCATTGTAGTTAGGGTGTTCCCCCCACTCCTTGGCTTCTTTCAGGAATTCATCTTTGATTTTCTATAATTTGAAAATGATACATTTGAAAAGTGTATTTTTTTTGACATCTCTTCTGCTGGGTGTTCTCTGAGCTTCCTGGATCTGTGGCTTGGTGTCCGGTATCAATTTGGGGAAATCCTCAGTTATTATGCTTTCCAGTATTTCTTCTATTCCTTTCTTTCTTCTCCTTCAGATATTTCCATTACACATATGTTACACCTTTTGCAGTTGTCCCAGAGTCTGGATATTCCGTCTGGGTTTGGGTTTTTGTTGTGGTTGTTGTTTTTCAGTCTTTGTTCTCTTTGCTTTTTAGTTTTGGAGATTTCTGTTGAGTTATCCTCAAGTTCAAAGATTATTTCCTTAGCCATGTCCAGTCTACTAATAAGCCCATCAGAGACATTCTTCATTTCTGTTATAATTTTTTTTATCTCTAGTATTAACTTTTGGTTCTTTCTTAAAGTTTCTCTCTGCTTACACTACCCATCTGTTCTTGCATGCTGTCTCTTTTATCCATGAGAGCCCTTAGCATATTAATCAGCTATTTTAAATGATTGGCCTGATAAGTTCAACATCTCTGCCATGTCTGTTCTGATACTTGCAGAGTAATCTCTGTCTCTACAAATTGCATTTTTTCGACTTTTGGTATGCTTTGTAATTTTTTCTTGATAGCCAGTCATAACATACAAAGTTAAAGGAACTGCTATAAATAGATCTTTAGACACGTGCAAGTAAGCTATGGGGTAAAGGGAAGCATTCTATAGTCCCATGATTTGGTGTCAGTCTTTTAGTGAGCCAATACCCCTGGACTGTGACCTCACAAATGTTTTTTCAGTGTCTTGCCCCCTTAATTGAGAAAGGATGGCTAGAGTGGTCTAGAATTGGGTATTACCCTTGCCCCAGATCAGTTAGGCTCTGATAACTAGGTTTCCAGCAGGTTAAGCTCTGGTTAACTAGTTTCCCTGAGGGCAAGGCCTGTTAAGAGGAAGAGAATTCTCTGGTGTAATTCAAAATGGTTCCCTTTTCCTGACCCTTGCTGAAATCCCAAAGGGATTTTTCTCTCATATTTACTGTGAGAACCTGGTCAAACTCCTGGAAGTAAATCTCACAAAATTATGGTATCCTTTCCCCAGGACTACATTTCCCAGGGGTTTTTTAACCCTCAAAGTGGTCTGCACTGAACCTCCAGCAATTCATCAATTACAGTTCAGGTTTTCCTGCCCCCACAACTGATTCCCAGGTTGATTTCCACTCATGAGTCTTTGCTGGGGTAAATTACTATTCTCCATATTTGCGTGTCAGTCTTTCCAATCTTGGGCATAATACTTTGCCCTGTTTCCTCACCTCTCTTGCTTTCCTCCTAAATCTTTTGCACAATTTTTCATGTGTTACCCTATTTTTAATTTCCAGGAACTATTTTTGGTTCATTAAGTGTTTCTTGTTTTGACTTCATTTTTTTTTGTTCTACAGCCTACTATTCTTGTTTTATATATGTACACTCTCCTCAACTTCTCATATTATTCTGAGGATATTTGTTATATATTTTAAAATCTATTTCTTCTCCCAGAATTGTGTAGTTTTGTCTGTTTCCTCTGAGTTCCTCTTTTCTATACACTTTTTATGTTTGTTCATCCATTCTTTCTTTTCCTTGTCAGAAATTTCCTTAAATGTTTAGTGATGCCTCACACCCTCTTCCCCAGCACCCGCAGGTGGTAGATGACCATATGTAGAAATTCAACACTCAAAAGCTATTTGGGACTTCACTGAATGTGGGAATCTTATTTTCACATAGACCTTACTGTAGGGTGATTAATCTGTGATACTGCACTAGGGAACTTCAGACTTTATATATTTACACACATTCTCTCTTGTGATGTACCATTTCCCCAGAGAAAATTCCTCTAATCTTGTGCCAGTGGAGATGTGGACCTAGCTATTAGGTTTCTGAGTCATTTGGGAGAAGCACCTCACATCAGTGGAGCAACTTACTCTTTAATATCTTTGACTTTACCCTGACTCTCTGCTGCACTCACTGGTTCTGAGTGATGGATATCCCTGGATCAAATTCTGCCAACAGTAAACCTGTTCCCAGGGTGGGGGAAAGGATCAGCAATGGATTTCTGGAGAGATTCAGGGAATCTAATTGCTTCTTTTACAAACTTTTAATCACTATTCATATGTTTAGTCCCACATATAACCCTACTTACAGAAGCATCTGGTGCCTCTATTTCTTGAGACTTTTGAGGGTACCTTGTAAAAAGCAGCCTGACTTGTTTCCTCTCTCAACTTAAATTTTAACTTCCTTCTGTCTAAGTCGGTTACCACTCATCCATCTGCTTTCTAGCTTCCAAACTTGTGTTAGTGCTGTCTCATCTACCATCTCTTTTGTCCTAATGAGTGAAATTTTTTATTCATTTCCTGTCAATTTAGCAGAGTGTCAGGAAGAAATGGAACACATTTGTTTAACTGAATGATCTCAAATTCACAGTTTAAAGGGTACTCTAAAAGATATTATATATTTATTTATTAATGTTTATGCTTCTCCTTGTTACTCAAAACATTATTGATACTGGAGGACTGAGAGTACTTTAAAACCAAGTTACTGCTTAAGGGGCACAAGATTCACAATTACATAAGTTAAATAATTATGGAAACATACAGTAGATTATGATCAGTTCAAATTCATTTATTCCATAAATACGTTTGGAGCACCTAATGTGCCAAACCAATTAAGAAACTCCTGAAATAGTACTTAAGTGAACTGAGGAGGGTGTGGTCTGAATTAAGATAGCAACCATGGAGAAGAAGGGGAGCAGATGAATTTTTAGAAATATATAGATATTTTACAAATTTTTCCAAATTATATTTGCTCTATGCTCTTGTATTAGTTTGGTAGGCTACAGTAACAAAGTGGAACAAACTGGGTGGCTTAAATAACTGAAATTTATTATTTCCCAGTCCTGGAGGCCAGAAATCCAAAATCAAAGTGCTGGCAGGGTTGACTCCTTCTGAGGGCAAGGAGGGAAGGATCTGTTTCAGGCCACTTCCCTTGGCTTATTGATGGTTGTCTTCACGTTCATATGGCATTCTCCCTGATAACTGACAGTGTCCAAATTTCCTCTTTTTACAAGGACACCAATCATACTGGATGAAGGTCCACCCTAATGAGCACATTACAACTTGATTGTCTTTATTAAGACTTTATCTCCAAATAAGTTCACATTATGAGGTACTGGAGGGGTTGGGGTTCAATATACGAGTTTTAGGGGACACAATACAAGCTCTAACAACCCTCTTCAAATAAAGGATGAGAAAATTAGTTTAAAACTAAATAAGAACTTAGGTAAATTAGAGTGAGGTCAACAGGAGAACATAGAGCCTGCCACATTCAGGACTCACAGTCTAATTTAATATAACAGAGTGTCCTATTAAATGCTCCAGAAAAAAAACAAATCTTGTCCCTGAAAGACCCATGCATAGATTGCCTTTCCTCAGTCACTACAGAAGCCACCAAGGCTTTGTCTCTGTACCACAGATATGGCTAGAGATAAAGTCATTGGCTTAGAAACACAGGAGTTAATAGTACCTGCTCAATATAAAATAATAAAATACTTTTTAAAAACAATAAAATTAGAATGCATGTTTAAAAACACAAGTTATAATTTGGTAAATTATACCATTTAATTTAATTATGAGTTTATATAACTTTAGGCCAAAAAAAATGGATCACAGAGATTATATAAGCCAAAAGGTGCCAAGTTGAGATGTGCTTCCCAATCACGTGGGGATCTTTTAAAAATACACAGATTCCAGATCCCCACTTCATATACACTGAATAAAATTTTCATGAATGCATACTTTTTTAGAAGCTCTCCGACTGATTCTAATGCAGACTGCCTGATCCATCTGCTTTGTTTTGAGTTGAGGAAATTGAGACCATTTTAATGAAATTACATAGGAAAGGACATATTTAATAAAAATATATGACCTATTTCATTTTGATCAATAGAAAACCCAAGGACTAGTAGAAACTGCTTCAAAAACAGTTTTGTTGACACAGTCCATAATGCTGCTCTTATATTATGGCAAAGACAGTTTAGAGATATTTGCTTCCCTTTAGTAATATTTTAAAGTTACCTATATTTAACATAGTTAGATTTAAAAAAAATTTTTAAAAAAATCTTCTAAGGGAAGAACAATTATGAAAGAGACTTTTAGAAACTTACAGATGATGTCCTATCCACTTCACAACGGCTGCTCAGAATAAAACAGGCCTCAGCATCATCCATCCTAAATACAGACAAAAAAAATAATAATTATTATACACTGAAATATCTTTGTAGTGTCTGAAAAATAGAATTCCAATGCTTAGTCCAATGTACACAAAGTGCAAATAAAATATGAGTATCCTTAGGTTTAAACGAAAGTTAGATTTCTAGCAGATCATGACTGTACTTTACTATAAACAAAGCAATGGTTGTTGAATTGGCTATATAACTCAACAGTTCATAATGACAAAAATTAAAAAAACACTCAAATTTTATTCTCTTTTATGATTATATATTTTTTCATGTATATGCTTTGTTTAAATTAAGGGAGTTGTATTGGCCTTTACTTTATGATTAGTTACATTTTAACGCAAAGTTACTCAATTAACTGAGAGAAGGAAGAGCTACTTAGTATTCTTATATCAAACTCTACTGTACATTTACATTTCTTGGAGATGATTCATCATCTTCTTCCCAACCCTTGTCCCTTAAACTAAATTTCTACATTTCTTAAATTTGGTGATAAACAGTAGGTTTCAGTGCTTGATAATGTTCTAAAAACATAAAAATGTTGGGGTGCCTGGTTGGCTCAGTTGGTAGAACATGCGACTATTGATCTCGGGATTGTAAATTCAACCTCCCCATTGGATGTAGAGATTACTTAAAAATAAAAAATCTTTAAAAAAATAAAAACATAAAAGTGTGAATTTCAAAATAAGGAATGTTTTATCTTTCTGATTCATGATGATAAAATAAACCTCCACCCCCCCCAAATTTTTTTTCTATGCAGAGGAAAGATAAAAGTCCAGGAAATTAGATCAAACCAAACAGTTTTGGGAAAATACTGAGTCATGGTTATAAGATAATTAGTATCGCATAACATTTTCTAAACATCATCTTCAACAAAGCAATTCAAAATTCATGCAACTGACCTTTGGAACTGGTTTGGAGAATCCTACTCCTTGTTTCTTGCATGGGAAATTGTGTTGAAGAATGTATTAGTTAACATTAAATCCCAAATCTTTATATGACATTAGGATAAGAAATGAACATAAAATGAATACTTCTTTCTTAACTCAGATTTTTTAGTATTACCAGCCTGCTACCTCTCTCATCCTCATTCTCATCCTTGGTATATTCCAATGAATGAATGCTTCTTGTAAATGTGATTGACTTTGCTGAGAAATCATTTTAATAATATTAATAATAAATGAATAATCCTAAATAAATCATGAATAAAAAGATAAATCATTTCCCCTCTACCCATCTAGGTTCTTGGCTGAGACCCCTCTGTAATAAAAAGACAGATTAACAGAAGAAAAGCAAACAGAAATTTAATAACACAGGAGAATATATCTCCTGTATACGTGGGAGACACCAAGGAAAACTGATTAACTCCTCTCCCATGAAGCCACCACCTTAAACACCGTCTTCAGCTGAAGACAAAAGATGTTTGGCTAACGGTGAGCCAGTTATGTTAACCTACCAAGAAAAGCAAAGTAAACCAGGGAAGGTTGCTATACAGATTCAGGTCCTTGCTTTCTCCATTCCCAAGAGTTTGCAGAGATTGAGTCATCCTCTTCCAGGTACAGAGAGAGAGAGACACCCTTATGGATGGAGATTTCCCTTATAAATGGAAATGCCTCTTCAAAAGGGTTAACTTCTACTAGGTTTTCAGTTTTTCCTGTGTCTGCTGTTTCTTAAAAATAACCAGCTCACAATAATCCTTATACCATTGAGGCATATTTTGGGGTAGCAAATTTGGCTCCCTTCTATAGTATCAAGCTAAAATACTAACAGCTAATACTAATAGCTTAGATTAATTTATTAGGTAACAAAAAGCCTTCAATTATCACATAAATTCATAGTGAACATAATATGGGAATTAGTCTTATGTGAAGAACTTAATGCATATGGTAAATTAAGCATATTGATTATCTATACAGATGAATATAAAGATTATCTATACAGATGAATATAAAGATCCAAATTATGTTAGTGTTTAAGCAATTATTTCTTTAGAGCTCCCAAATAATGTATATAGATAGCAAATAGCAAACACCTAAAGCCATCTATTGCTTGAGATACTAGGAGAATCTGACTTAACTCTTGTGTGTCCACTGACAATATCTATGAAGTATTTAATCCACCGGAAATACTAATGTGTTCTCAAAGAAGCTAAATTTCCTAATTATGCACCATTCATTATATCCTGATGATTTCTACTAACTTTTTTGTTTCAGAAGTTATTAAATCATTGAAAAATCTCACTTAAATTGCCCTACTGTATATAAATCAAAGGTAATGTCAAAGTTCCAGTTACAAAATATCTAGTCATCACTTTACAGAATTAAGCAGCAAAAAGGATTTTGGGACTTTTCTTCTGTTCTTTTCCACTATCCACCCACATACACACACACACACACACACAACATGCATAAACACACCCATCTCCACTAACACACATACTCAAGCCATCCAGAAAAAACAAAGCAACGAAATAAAAAACACTTATGCTCTCAAATTCAGTGAGGAGACTTATATTTATATAAGAGCACATGAAACAACTCAGGGACAAACATGGAGATGTAGGATCCAAGGCCACTCCAAGATGGGCCACGTTGGCATGAAGATTACTTTGAGCTAAAAAGCAATCAAAACTCAGCAGATTCAGGAAAGCTCTTTATCTCCCTCCTCAACTGCCTGAAAAGAAGTTAGAAAATCTGCTCCAGGAAGGGAGCTATCACCATAGATAACTACATTATGATACAAACTAGGGAGGGCAGGCAAGGAAGAACTTAGCAAAGCCTGTTTGATTCCAATCCTCCATGTCCCATTGTTTCTGAGTGGCCCAGCAAACATTTGTTTACCAAATATTTACTCTTCTTTTATTATTCTTATTATTAATATATAATGTATTATTTGTTTCAGGGATACAGGTCTGTGATTCATCAGTCTTACACAATACACAGCACTCTTGTTCATCTCCCTGTAACTTGCTTTCCTTCCCTTGGTAGTCCCAGACCTCTACCCCTTCTCCTTAGCTCAGAATGACATATTTTCCTGTCTTTGGAAGTTCCATGTCTGTATGGATTCCCTGTACATACACTATTAAATTTGATTTTCTCCTGTTAATCTGTCTCATGTCAATTTGATTCTTAGTCCAGCTAGAAGGACCTAGAAGGGGATAGGATATTCTTCCTCCCCAACAAAGACATGTTTAAAACTTTAAAAGCAACAGAAAACATGGAGCAAAACCACCCCTGCTGAAGGTTTCTTCTGGCTGCTGAAACTATGGGTGTTGTTTGCAGAGGCCCTGACTCCCTGGTGTCCATGGTCGGCCCAAACATGTTTTCACTCTGTTCATATGGAAAAATCCCATGACCTGTGACAAAGGTGTATGCCTATGTCACCTTTAAACCAGGTTGGCTAGCATATGTGCTACAGGAAAAGAGCAACTAAGACCCAGTTACCCTTCTGATTCCTCCAGCCCCAGGGACATCACAAGTGTCATCTGCCCAGTACATAATACAAACTCTAGAATTTAAACCCTGACTCAAACTGCTTTGGCATTTCATATAATGGTTAGCCCAAAATTTTTATTTGTGGAATAAAAACAGTATTCAGGGATTTGGAGACTACTAACAGTGAGTCTGGATAACTCAGCTCTTCCCTGACAGCTTGAGATAATTACACCATGCCACACTCATTGTGTTGTGTGGACACAGTCCGCTGAACATCCTTGCACTGAGAAAGGGAGCAAATACACTGATTTTATATTTTTAACCTTTCAACTTGACCAGCAGAGGGACTATGGCAAGACTCTGTATTCAAAAATACTTAAACACATCTTGCAAGACTGAAAATTGCTAAAATTTGGAGGAGAGAAAAGATATTAAAGTATTGCAAGATGGAAAATAGATAGGGATACCTACTTTGCTCTCAACAGATCCTGATCTTTAAGGGCTGAGCCTTGAAGGTAGATAACTCTTTGTGACCACATTGGAATCTGCAGTACCCTTCGAACTTGCACATCCATTTCAGTAGGACACAAAATCACCACATAATAATCCTATTCAAAACAAAGTGAGCAATGGAGCAAAATCAATAATGCTGTGTTTTATATTATGTAAGTAAACAGAATGTCTAAGAACATTTAGAAATATGATGATATAGAAATAAACTCCTGCTAATAAGTAAAAATTTGCATTTAAAACTTGGACACACATTAATTAACATGATACTGTAATAAACATAACTGAGACATATAAAAATCTCATAAAGCAACATAAGGTCATCCTGACCTTTTTCAATCTTATTAGTACCATGAAGAGAAGGTAATCAGTGTATACTCAGTAGACATTTCCAACCTATGAAGTTTTCATTTATAACTTCAGGCTGATTCTAAAATATGTAATACATACAGAAGTGCTTAAAAATCAATTCATACTTCAAATTTTTACTTTTAGAATAGAAATTCTGATGGTGATTTATATCATTAGGAAATATTATGAACTGATAATACTGAAAAATCTCTGATGAATATCTGAAAGGATAAGGATTCATAAAAATATTGATAACACAAAGTAAATTTAAAACTTTGAGATCATATATTTCAAAATTATGATCCTTTTGAAAAAATACAAAAGTACTCTGAGTGATAAAATAGTTTAATACACTGATTATAGGAATTACAGTTCTCTGGGCAACATTCATTATTTTATCATCTAAAATGTATCTAGTGGAAATTTGGGGAGTTTTGAGAATTCTCCACATTGATATCAGACAAAATAAATTACTAGGTATCAAAACGTGGGGCATCAAATTTTCCCAAAAATAGGTTTTCTTTATGGATTATAATGAGCAAAACCACAATTATTTAATATGAATAATAATAAAAACAACAAATAAATATGGTGTTTCTTCAAAAATGCAAATTAATTTATAAAAAAACAAAAGAATGTATGATGTAATTTAAGTATCACTTATTTATAAATTATATTTTTAAAAAATATTTTTTAAATAGTATTTTAAAAGATCTCCAATATAGTCATGAAAAAAAAAGATCTATTTAAGGGAGATCTAATTAGATAACTCAGTACTGTTTTGATCTCAGGACTGTCCAACCTCTTGACACAAATTTATTGAGGAAATACAAGACATTCAAGTAGCTCCTTACTGTTTGGACTGAACTCAGTGCATTGAGCAGGAAAAGGAGATTATCTAAATCTACATTGGCCCAGGACCACACAGCAAGTGGCAGAAGTATCTGAGGATTTTATCCGCATAGACAAATGAAGAGATTTTTTTTTTCTGAATTGTTGTTCTCAATTCAGCTAGTTATTGTCCAATTTGGGGTCACTCATTGCTAGTATAAATAAGACCTAGGTACACTCTGGGAAACAAAAGGAAAAATGGAACTTTCAGACTTCCACATTTCTATCAGCAACACTTGATAAAACTTTTGATAATTTCAAGTGAGTAGATGATATTGTGAAATGACTTTTTCATTGTTTGATATCTTATGTTAAATTCCACTGTTTCATAAAAATGTCATTTGTGCTTACACAAGGGAGAAAAAAAACAATCCTTTTAATTCAAAAAAACCTTTCTTTGTAGCATTAACAATTCCATCTGTCTTTTAGTGTAGATACAGAAGGAAACTTAAAATACTGTGTATTCCTTAAGCATTTTTTCTATGTTCCTGGTTATATTTGCAGTTCTTCATTTACTGTTTCTAAATTTGAGTGTATAAATAAAAATCCTCCAGAATGCAGGCTGCACCATCAGTTAATTGACTTGGACAATATGTTAGTTAGTTATGATCCAGCAAAGGCGTAACATAATTTTAATGTACCTGAAGTCTTGGGTGAGCATAGAATTCATTTAAAAAGTCCATAAGTAAATCAATCTTCAGTGAACTGACACACAGAACAACATGCTTCTCAGTTTGAGCTCTATGTCGACTATAGTTTCCACCTGACTTTTGTCTTTCCATCCACAAATAGGCCAGCTGTTCAAACTGCAATGCATTTTCCACAAATGAATAAAAAACTTTGGACATGAAAATAAAAATCAATGCAATACATCCATTGTTTATTAGATACACTCAATTTCTTAGCTGGAACTCATTGAGATTCAAATTATCCGTATTCCCTTCAACAACAGACTTTTCATGTGATTGCTGTACAAGTTGCTAATGCTTCCCAGGGGCCTCAGGTCTCTAGAGAAACATATTAATATGATTTTCCCATTATATCATAACAGCACTAAAAGGTTTGTGCCTCTGCTTTATGTCCAGTAAAGCAGGCAGCCATGATGTATCATGCACTGCGTCAAAGAGAAAAACCTCAAAGGCATTTCTTCTACCTTCTTCAACCAAGTTCAGCACACATCTCATGCAATGAGAGATACCCAACACACAAGGTCACATTCTAGTTGTACAGCTGTAGTTGGTATGTAAGGGAAGTGGAGGGATATCAGGAAGGAACACATGCATGATTGGATAAAAGTAGGAAGATCATTTTCATACCTACATAAAGGATATTTAGATATACTGTGGTCAAAGGTTTGTAATGGAAGATACAAGTTTGATTTGTATTTGCCATATCTTGTTTCTGACCTGCTCACCCATGGGCACCTAAGAGCTCACTGTAGGAAAGAGTTGGAGATTGCATCTGCTTATCTTTAGTCTCCTTTTATATCTCTGTCCCTTTGTAACCACCTTATCTACTCCCAGAATGTTGTATATTAGTTACATATTATCATCTTCAGATTTTTAGTTGACCAACATGTAATCAGTTTTTATTTATTGCAGTGTTTAGCTTTTATATTGTTTCAAGAACCAAAGGAAATCAAACCTTCATAAGTTTATTTCCTTGATCTATCATTCTGCAATTAAAATTATATTATCCTATGATCTTATAATTAATATAATTAAATACCTTATATTTCAAAGAAATGTCTTCAAGAATTGAAATGAGATGTGAGTTATTTCAGTTGTGAATGGAGGGGGAAAAAAGTCAGTTTCTAATATAATGTGAAAAAGCATTTCCTGAGACCATTTTAATTCATTGACTAGATACAATAATAACATGTGTCAATATATTACATTAATAAACCACCCTGCATTTCTTACTAAGCATGAAAGATTTGATTTTATAAGATTTGCACATTTCTATAAAATTTACCCTGGCTCTGTTTACCTGTATGGGTAGAACCACAAGAGCAACACAAATCATGGCAACGACAAAAAGCTTGGAGGACCATGTTTCAGGGGTGACATCCCCAAAGCCCACAGTGGAAAATGTCACAATGCAGAAGTAAAGGGAGTCAAAGAGATTCAGCTTCTTCCCTATTCGTTCCAGATGTTGGATTCCACAAATGCTAAAGAAACAAACGTGCATTAAAATTAAAACTTTCAAATTGGGCACATTATTTCTCATTATACTTTTGAAAGCACATTTCATAAAGCCATGCAGTAAGCTGGAATCTTATATTGTACAATCTTTTTTCCTCAGGAAAATATATTTTTTTAGGCTTTTTACCCACATTAACCAAATATAGTATTACCTTGATTGATAACCAAAAATTGTAGCCAAAATATCACAGAGTAGACTGGAGTAGCATGTAAAAGGAATGGACTGAATTTCATGGGTGACTAACACAAACATTTTGAATGCATGCCAGGAAACAGAGACAGAAATTGCTAAATTTATTCCCTGTCAAAAGAGTGATAGTCTTTTTTTTTTTTTACAGGAAGCCATCTTATTGTATAATGTGTGTGTGTTTCATATATATATATATATATTATATATATATGAAAGGTTTGAGGAGTTAACAATTGCCAAGTCATTCTCAAGAGATCAACCATCTGTATAAAGCTACTAATGGTATAAAAGTAAGAGAGCAGCTTAGAAATTGTTACAAGATGTCCCCAAAGTAGAATTGTTAAAATAGCACTAAAAATAGCACTACTACTGGCAAAGAAAAAAAAAGAAAAAAGAAAAAGAAAAAAAAGGAAAGGTGAGCCTTGGAGGGAGATAGGAGATTTGCACATAAATCAGTGTATAATGGCATACAAGTCAGCAAGAAGAAAAAAAAACAGGTATCAATGCATATTATAATATGGATAAACCACAAAAACATGGTCAGTGAAAGAAGACAGATGTAGAAAACTACAGACTATATGATACTGTTCAGACAAAATGTCCAGAAAAGAGACAGAAAGCAGACTAGTGGCTGCCTGGAGCTGATGGTGGGAAGAAGGGTGATAGAAAATGTTCTAAAACCGGAATGTGGTGATGATTGCAGAACTCTGTAAATGCGTTTAAAATGATTGATATTTACACTTAAAATGAGTGCACTGTATGGCACGTAAATTATTCCTCTACAAAGCTGTCCAAAAAAATCAGTGTTTACTTTTGGATACTCACTCCAACCCCTATGCACAACAAGAAGACAGCTTGATTTTGATGACCACGAAGAGGTAATATTCAATGTTTAATTTTTCTATTTTCTTTTCTATCCTTTTAAGATAATCTTCCTATTTGTCTAGGTTACATATCAAAAAATATTTAATTATCTTAAATATTAAATGTTTTTTGATTGTTTTTTTTTTTAAGGCGGAGTCTAAGCCAGTGGATAGGTAGATAGGTGTGTAAGCACACAGGTAGATAAACCAAGGGACAGAAGAGAAATAGTAGGGTACTTGTCGTCATTTTACTGCTGAGGCAGAGACTGTTCTTTTTTTATTTTCTTTTTCTTTTTCTTTCTTACCTCCAGGTTTCCAGAATGGTTCAGCAAAATTGCCCTTGTTCTATGCTTAGGAATTTTGTGTGAGCTGCCAGGTCATATGAGTTGATTCGTATCAGTTTATTTGCTCTGCTGTCCCTATGCAATATAATAGCCAAACTAATTATAAGACTATTCAGATGGAACCTTACTATAACCAAAGAGAACAACTGTTTGATAACAAATATTTCTGTGAAGCAGGTTTTTTAATTTTATCACAAAAATATGTATTTGAAAATGTAAACAATTTATGCTTAACTTTTACACTTCAGTAGAAAATAAAATAAGAAGGAAGATAAATTACATAGTTTAAGGATTCAAATGTTAAAGGCTTACTATATACTGCATAACTACACATTAAAAGTCAGTCCCTGTTCATAGAAAAAATGTCCATTTTTTAATTCAGATAAACATTTTCTTCACCTAAACTAGTATAAAAGTCTCCTACTCTGCTTCCTTGTCTTCAGATTGTTCTTTTTTTAATATAATCTATTCATAATGGCCATATTCACATTCTTTAAGCAAAGCTTAGAGGGGCTCCTGGGTGGCTCAGTTGGTTAAGCATCCAACTCTTGATTTCGGCTCAGGTCATGATCTCAGGGTTGTGAGATCAAGCCCTGCCTTGGGGCTTAAGATCCTCTCTCTTCCTCCCCCACTTCTCCCTCCCCTCCCCTGCAGGTGTGTGCACTCTCTCGCTAAAAAAAATAAAAATAAAATAATCAATTAATTTTAAAAAGCTTGGCTATGTAAATCTCAGGTTTAAAAAAAAGTACTGGATTCTTACAGTTTAAGACCACTTTGTAATTCATGGTGTGATAGATTATTATAATAGCTGCCAATAAATCAAGCTTTCCTATGCTCATGCCTGTTTGCAACATGATATGCTGTACTTCCCATCAAAAGTGAAATCTAGGGTGCCTGGGTGGCTGATGGTTGGGCGGCTGCCTTTGGCTCAAGTCATCATCCTGGAGTCCCAGGATCAAGTCCCACATCGGGCTCCCTGCTTGTCAGGGAGTCTGCTTCTCCCTCTGATCCGCCCCCCATCTCGTGCTCTCTCTCTCTCTCTCTCATTCTCTCTCTCTCAAATAAATAAATAAAATCTTTTAAAAAAAAGTGAAATCTAGTTCTCCATGTCCTTGCATTTGAACAGCCTAATACCTTATTTGACCAACAAAATTTTGTAGAAATGATGGTGTGTGGATCACAGAGCATGGATCTTACAAACACCCTGAAGTTAATGTTCTTGCTGACTTAGAAGTCTGAGATTACCATGCTGTACAGCAGCCTGGTATAATGTACTGAAGGATGAGAGGCTTGTGGAAAAAAAAAAAAAATGTCCCAACTGACAGCCAGCACCAACTGCCAGACATGAGAGTCAGCCATCTTGGATGCTCCAATTCCTGTCAGGCCATCACATGACTGAAGCCAAGAATAACTGCAAGTGAGACCAGCAGGAAAACTATCCTGGTTTCAACCACAGAACTGTGAGAAACAACAAACTGCTGTTTTAAGCCACTACCTTTTAGGTGGCTTGTCATTTGGCAATAGATATGTGGTACATACAGAATTAATTAGACTCCAGCATCTGGATCTAATCTGGTTTTTCACAAATTTTGCTCTCATTTATCTCCCCTTCACTTAATATTTGGATGGTTTACCTATCATAGTATATAATCCTTACCCTCTATATCAACTTTTGCCCAATCTATTCCCTACAACTGAAGCCCTCTCTCCATAACACCTACTGTGATTCCCATTTTTTGAACCCTAGCTCAAAAATGACCTCCATTATAAAGACTTCATTGAGTCTCAAGTTCAAGGAATTCCTAGAAGTTCCCGCTGAATTCCTAGAGCACATAGGAGTTCATGTCTCATATAGGTAAACTTTTACAATGATACCTATTTTTAGAGTTTAATATTTATCACCCCAACTCAACTATTACTTACCCTATTGACACTATTTACACCTGTATTTTTATTTCCTAGAGCACTTAGCACAAAGTGCTTAGTAGTCACTCATTAACTAACTGCTAAAAGGACAAAAGAACACCTGCTTAAACCATACTCAAATAATACATGCAAACAAACTCCAGAAAGCAGTTCATTCATGTGTTTCTGCTTTTTATTACTTGCATAACCAACTCCCCAAAACTCAGTGGCTTCAAACCATAATAATTTATCATTTCACATGATTCCGTGTGGTAGGTGGGAATTTTCTTGGGTTTTCTTGGGCTCATTCACGTGGCTGCATTAGCTAGAAGTCTGGCTAGAATGAAAGATCCAAGGTGGCCTCACTCCTGTGCCAGTGTTCACTGTTGTCTGTTTGCCTTGCTTGGTTATTCTCCATGTGACCACTCATCCTCCAATATTTTCAGTCTGCTTCATTACTGTCCCAGGGCAATGATAGCAACTGAAAGTCGTCTTCGGACCAAGCTTTATCTGCCCCATTCTATTTGCCAAAGCAAGTCACTAGATCAGCCCAGATTGGAGGAATGGCTGTGGAAATAGACTCTATCTCCTGATAAGAAGAGCTACAAAATTCTGTGATCATGTTTTTCAATCCACCAAACTGTATAAGTGAGAATACTTATCACAACTTATATAAATCTTAATAAATATTATTGAATAAATCATGTTACATTCCAAGATATTTAATTGCCTTGAAATAATTGTAGTTAAAATCATGCTTGCACTCATTTTTTATAACCCTTATGTAAAATGCCATTTTACTTGACCTAGAAAAATCATGTGAAATTTTCACATATTTATCAATATCACACTTAAGATTCAAGACTTGATATACCTTAATACTCACTAAATCAATATGAAAATGAAGACACCCACATCAGCTGTTACACACTTGGTATTATTACACAAAAACAAAAATTAACATTATTTTTAAGTAGTAATAAAGGTAAAAACACTGAATTACTTTTAGAGTTTTTCTCTGATTTTTTTTTAAGATTTTATTTATTTGACAGAGAGACACAGCGAGAGGGGGAACACAAACAGGGGGAGTGGGAGAGGGAGAAGCAGGCTTCCCATGGAGCAGGGAGCCTGATGTGGGGCTTGATCCCGGGACCCTGGGATCATGACCTGAGCCGAATGCAGACAGTTGACAACTGAGCCACCCAGGTGCCCCAGTTTTTCTCTGATTTTGAAAACTGTCAACCAGTTTTCATTTAGGTCTCATTTAATGGGCCACTGCTTATGTTTGTGGATAACAATGTCAATACATTTCAAAAAATACTGATGTTAACATATCTTCTAAGGCCATAAATATTTTTGTAATAAATAAATGAACTTAGTTCCTTCTTCCCAAGAGAAAATAGGACAGAGAATATTTAAATATCTAGCCCAAGAAGATGCGGAGAAAGGGGAACCCTCCCTACTGTTGGTGGGAACGCAAGCTGGTGCAGCCACTCTGGAAAACAGCATGGAGGTTCCTCAAAAAGTTGCAAATAGAGCTGCCCTATGACCCAGATATTGCACTACTGGGTATTTACCCCAAAGATACAAATGTAGTGATCTGAAGGGGTACATGCACCCCGATGTTTATAGCAGCAATGTCTACAATAACCAAACTATGGAAA